TACTACTACTCTACTACTGCTACTCCTACTACTACTACTACTACTACTACTACTACTACTGCTACTACTACTACTACTACTACTACGACTATACGACTACTGACTACTGTTCTGCTAGCTCTACTACTTCTACCACTTCTACACGACGACGACTGCTGCCACTACTCCTGCTGCTGGTCCTGCTCCTGCTCCTGCATGCTCCTGCTCCTGCTCCTGCTCCTCCTCCTACTCCTGTACCTGTACCTGTGCCTGTATTCCTGCTCCTACTCCTACTCCTGCTATTTCTACGACGACTACTACTACCAGGACCACCGCGACCACGACGAAAACTACTACTGCCAGTACCACTACCATTATCACTACAACCCTGGCTACCACACTGCCACTATGAGGGCCACAGCCTTGCTCGGCTTCTTCCTGGCAGCATCTGCCTTCGCGACATTGGGAAAGCACGTACAGGGAGGTCAGCGGGCTTCACGCCACCTTGCATCTGTCACGCGGAGTTGCAGTAGCAGTAGGAGTAGGAGTAGGAGTAGGAGTAGGAGTAGGAGTAGGAGTAGGAGTAGTCATAGTAGTCATAGTAGTAGTAGTAGTAGTAGTAGTAGTAGCAGTAGTAGTGGTAGTGGTAGTGGCAGTGGTTGTGGTGATGGTGTGACTGGCAAGACATCAGCAAGGGGCTGCACAGGAAAGAAGTATGAGTTCAAAACAAACAGAGGGGCTTTGTCTAAGCCAAGGAGCAAGACTCTGACCCGTTGTCGGAACCTTGAACACCTCGGGCCAAACACGAATAGATGTTTCAAAGGTAGTGCATCAGTTGTACAGTTTCTTGAATACAGCGCCCAGCCACAATGCACCATCAGAGCTTGATGAGATGTCTCTTAGTGTTTGGAGCGCCGGATGTAGTTGATAGAGTGTCTGAAGTTGCCTTCCTGTGCAGGTCACCACACGAGCGGCAAATCGTTTGGTGCGAGACCACAGCACTGACAAACTTGTGAATGCAAGGCATTGCACCAGGCAGGTGCAGCTTGCCTCCCGGTGCGAGTGAAGGTGGTTTTGCTTCCTCGGCACTCGAAATCCAAACGGTCGACGCAGCTCTAGCAAAATGCCGCAGACATGTCAAACACATCTGCGTAAGACCCCTCAGCATACCTTACATACAGGCTGCGACCAAATAAGTCGGCACCTGTGCTCAAAAGGCCTATGACGTACGACGCATATGAGAACTGCCCAGGGCCGGGCGTGTTGAAAGGAACGGAAGTGCCAGCGCCTGCCCGCATGTCACACCATGCTTCGACATCTCAGAACTCATGCGACCCTGGGAATCTGTGATTTGCTTTGAGGGGTTCGTACAGCAGCACCATGACACACCAAGGATCCCTAAAACCCACACCTCCTTGGCTGTGCATCTCTCCATGGGACAGCGAACGAGCAGCGCCGATGTACAATCCACGGCCTGATTACGACTGGCAGTCGTCGGTGCTTGCTTTCGCTGTTCGTCATGCTCGATGTGCATGTAAAAACACATACTGAGACATATATGCAGAGGCACACAGACACACAAACATATATGTGCATATAAACACACAAATACATTTGTAGATATCTATATCTGTATCTGTATCGACATCTATATCTATACCTATATCTCTACATATATATATATATGTATACAAACACAGATACAGACACGGATACAGATACATGCATACTGACTTGCTTGCTTGTTGGCTTACTTACTTACTTACTCACTCACTCACTTACTTACTTACTGACATAACTTACTTACTTGCATACTTACTTACTTACTTACTTACTTGCTTGCTTACTTACTTACTGTCACTTTCTACTTACTTACTTACTTACTTACTTACTTACTTACTTACTTACTTATTTACTTACTTACTTACTTACTTACTTACTTACTTTGTTTGAAGTCTTAATTCCTTACATACCTACACACACACACACACACCTACATGCACATATATATATATATATACACCGAAACTTAAGTCCTAACTCGTGTTGAAGCCCCCACAAGCCCTACATACCCTGAAACCCGCAGTCCGAAAATGCTTACAACTCCCTATACTAGAAGCATAAGCCCTTAACCCCTAAACCCTAAAACATCGTTAGTACGACGTAGCGTCATATTTATACACATATATAACTGTCTCTATACTCTCTCTCTCTATATATATACACATGCATATGTAATCTGTGTTTTTCATACTTTTGGCTGGCTTTGCCGCTTCCGTTTCTCCTGGTCTCCCCGCTTTCTTGTTTATTCTTTGCTGTTGCTTTATGCTCACCGCTTCTGTGCTTTTAACGTAAAACACTGCTTGGCATTGCTTTGTGTGTTTTTTCTTCTTCTTCTTCTTCTTCTGTGTTTCTCGCTTTTTGCGGTTCTGCTGTTCGGTTTTTGCTTGTGCTCTCAGGGCTTCAAAGGCTTGGGTTTAGAGACTTCCAGTTCGCAGTTTCCTGCAGGGCCCTGCAAGGCCGTGGTAGGTGGAGCACGATTCACGAAGTCCGGAAGGGCCAAACAAAGCATGGGATTTTTCAGCTAACACGGCGGCATCCCCGGCGAACGCGGCCGGCGCAGGACTTGTGGCGCCACAGCGGGAGCTGCGGAACGGCCAAAATAAAGCAGCAAGAACAAACATAAAACACTCGAAGAACAACGCCACACTAATTTGCCATCCTTTCCCCTGGCCTACTGCGAAGTTGATGTCTGATCCCGACCTTCAGGGAATATCGACCTACTACAATGCTTGAATGGAAAATTAAGGTTGCCGTGGGGATTGCTGAAGCTCCCTGTGGAATTTTGTATAACGGTAGGTAGAAGTGATTTAGCTATCAATGCTACTACTGTAAATAAACCATGAGTATATCAGAAGTTACGGCACAGGATAGCGCACGCTCGCCTCTGATATCCGCAGTCGCCAGAACTCTTTGCTTCGCAACATCTTAAGCATTGTATGCAAGATCGCAGCAGCTACTTACTGGTTACTTAATGCAGTCAGGGACGGTGCCGCATAAACCACGTAGATGCTGTTCCTGGGCCGGGTGGGCTCTAAGGAAGGCTTCATGCCCAAAGATGGAGATGTTCATTTCACAGCCAGTGGCCATTTGTCTTGCGTGTCGGTGGTACTGAGTATCTGGTGGTACGCCTGCGGTGAATGAATCGACCGGCCATACCGGCCTCAACCTACCAATACATCCAAAGCGCGAAGTTTCATTTATCACACTGCTGAAAACCTCGGGAAAATGATCCTAGGTCCTCAGAGCCTGTGAAGTGCCGTGAAACCTGCCAGGTTGACGGTGCCTAACAGCGTAAACCAAGGTTCGGGACGTATGCGATCAACGCCCACCATCCAGATCGGACCCACAGTGAGGCAACAGTGCGCAAGACCACAGTCCTTGGCTCGGTTCCAGTGCTCTGCCCATGAAGTGCTCTCCTGCTTCAATTGCCACAGCTTATATGCGTACCGGTCTGAGCGGAGGCAGTTGAACATGACAGAAATTACAACCAGGATGACACGGCGAAATGCTCTCTTGCCTGGGCTCAGTACCACAACTTGGGTGGTATCATTTGGCCGAGCCAACAGCATGGACACAATGCTGAGTACTTGCATCAGCCAGAATAAAAGGTCCATGGCTATCCGCGTTCGAAAACATGGGAAGGTCGAGACCATCAGAAGAACGGCAAAGGAGGCGAGCAGTGGCAAATCGACGGATGGGTGGCGTCGGCTCCTACCTTGAAAATACCATACCTGCACTGCGATGATGCGGTACATACCACAAACCAGGATGGATCTGCTGAAATACAGGAGCAGCCTTCGCTGCAACGAATCCCAGGCTTCGGAAATCGGCTTGCTGGTCGGACCAGCCAAATGTCCCAGGCTCGTCTTCACCCAGTTGCAACCTCGCTTGCAACCGCGCCATACCTCTCGCATCACTGGATTCCTTTCTCCACCCTGACATGGGTTCCGGTACAGGTTCTGGGCCAAAAGCACGAAGAGCTTCCTCGGTGATCGAGTCTGACACTGGGTAGGCTCGACATGTCATGCGGGAGCCGGTGATGTTGTGCTTGCATACTGACCCAGGTACAGACCCTTGCAGTCTTGCGGCTGGATGCTGTTGCGAATTCATGTTCCGCAAAGTAGCCCTATTATGACAACGAGATGCCATGCAACCCAGGTGCAGAACCAATAGTGTTTCCAGCACAACACAAGCGCACACGATGAGCTCGCCCTCAACCTTCTGAAATGCCTTCAACAGTTCCTGGCATTGGACGTGGACGCAAGCTTGTTTGCAAGAAAACAGTCTGCTTCGTTGGATGTCTGGCAAAGCTGACTGCAAAGTTCGTTTCTTGGCTCTTAGTCGGACCTGCCAATGTAGTACGGCTGGTTACCTTCTATAGTGCATGAGCAACTTGGGGTGGGATCCGCGAGCACAAGCTCTGCTTGACAACTGCAAACGCTCAGGGCCAGACCATGGCAACTCAAGCTTGCACTCCATGCGTATGGCTTACCACATCTGCTTGTGCCAGGTGCGGATCTGCTTCGAAGCTTGCAGTGCGACAGATTGTGTTTAGTCCCCTTTCGTGGTGTCAAGTTGTCGAAGAATCGGTATGGCGGAGCTTTCAATTTCAATCCTCGCCAAGTGAAGTCGTCATGGTCTGGGCCAAAGTTGGAAGCGCGGTTGGGGCGAGCAAGACTCGCACATTGCAGCCCGTTTGCCGTCACGAAGATCACGCAGTGGAAAAACACTTGTGGACCGTGCACACTAAATGCCATTGCCAGTTCGGGCTTGTTACAAGCTAGAGAGACGCAAGGACTGGACCTCAAGCAGTCAGTCGGCACTAAGCTGAAGACTTTCCCGAGCCGAGATTGTACGGCACCTGCGTTGGGAGGGCTGCGACACCGACAAATTGTTGGAGCCTAGCACAAACCTATCAGCATGTGATGCGATTAGATGCGATTGGGATCCTGAACTTGGCTCACGATGTTGTGTCTCAGTGACCACCCTACTAGCCAATGAAGCATGCCGAGCCCATCATGAGTCGCTGCACACACTGTCACAAAGTTTGTCCAGCCTGCCGCAGCTCTTCAAGCGTTCGTCCATCCTCGAAAAACTCCAATGCACTTCAGCTCTTGCGAGAAGTCTAGTTGTGCGATGCCGGGCCTCTGCCTCTGCCCGGATGGAAATCTCCACCTGGAACTCACAGACAAGGCCTGTACTGCCTAGGCTGAAGCTCGTGAGATCTGCTTGCCTCGCAGTCCTCCATGAGGCAGCCCCAACCTTCGCCTTCGCGGATCACAGTCCTGCATGCCACAAACTAATCCACAAGGCTATAGGCTGCATGAACTCCCCTCGAAGACGATCTTCAGATTCTGAATTCATTGAGCGATATGGGACCAGTTGTTGAAGACGGCCTCATGCAGGCCCAATCGCCGAAGAGGTTGTCCTGGCCACAAGAGAAGGTTGCACGATGTTCCTCGTGACTGTTTGTGCTCGAAGTGATTACATCTAATGTATGAGCAGAGCATGGCAGAGCTGTCGAGCAACGAAGCCGATTGAACTTTTCTCCACTAACGGGCCACGGCAGCGCCGCAGCACAACCTCCTGCAGGTCATGGAACAAAGAGGAGGACCTAATTACAAACCACCGGTGCACGTTGCCAGTGGCATTCGGGCTCCTCGGGGCCGGCAGCGGCCGAAGTGCACAAACGGTGCTTGTTCGCAGATCCAGGGCATCGTGGTGGTCGCAATCTTGTCGGTTGCCATCGAAGCCTCCAAACTCCAAATTGATTGCAGACCTTCACAACAAACCCTCAACGCTTCAAGAATCGCCCGTCATCGCCCGTCCTCCGAGCAAATGGATGGTGTGCCCAACGACGCAAAGGGCAGCACCAGCCCGGGCAAGCGTGACGGAGAGAGGCGAGGTCCACTCCCTGGCCTGCAGGCCGAAGGCAAAGCTTCATTCCGATCATGTCGGAAAGTTCAGGAGGCCTCACAGTCGAAGCGGTCCACAACTGGGATTGTGAGCCCGCTCCCGCCGAGTCCACCAACTACCTCAGATCTGCGGATTTACGGGGTCCCGTCTTCGAAAGCAGGCTCCAAAGCATGCGAGCTGATGCGATCTCCGTCTTAGCGGAACCAGAATTGCCGGCCATGCGACAAGCAAGGTTCCTGCAACCACTGCCGCACTGCAGCCGCTCCTTGCAGATGGCAGTGCCTTGGATGGACGGCCAGCATGACGGATCACGCTACTTTTTTAGTGGGGCGCTCCCTTCCGTTGCTGTGGCGATGCGTATGTGATGCGACATGGAATGCATGGGAGTAGGACGAGCGAGGCGGGTTGAAGGAACACGAAAAAAGACGTAAGCCATGTCCAAGCCACTGCCAGGCACTCCCAGCTCTCTGTGGGCACCGACAGCATCTCGACCTCAACAGCTCACGGAGCTTGGGTGTGAACATTGAATCCATGCGAGACAGCCCTCATCTCGTGCTTGTTGTTCCACCCTGTCGATTTGATTTCAAACAGCCTCTGCGCTCAACAGCCTGGAAGCGGAGGCGATGGGCGATGGGTAAAGACTCACTCTTCAGTCGGTGCTTCACGCTGGATCTTGCCTTGTCCAAGACCGTCCCATCTGCAAGCTGGCCACCGCAAACAAGTACCTGGCAAAAGATCTCGCAATATTTGCTCTCCCAAGGTCATTCGGTAACGATAGCTTCTCCAGTCAAGATGGAACAGCACTTGCTTCTGTTCAACTCTCTGCCGGCCACTTCCAAAGCAATCCTCCCTTTCCAGAGTTCTCGGCACCCGGTCGGCAAAGCCGGCAGCAGCACACCCGCATCGAGGAGTCGGCATCGGTGGATACCTGGCGAGATCTTGAAACAGCTTCGCCCCCTCAAAGATGCCAAAACTGTAAAGCACGGCTAGTCTCAATCAGAATGACTGCCTGTAAGGTTCAATCTGCCCTCAGAAATCCACCACTGGCCTCTGCCATTTTCGGCTATCGGGATCGTAGCCCTCAGCCACGTCCTGCATCTGTGCAAACACGTGATTCTGTCACGTCTCCAGTTTCAATCCCTGATGCTATGAAGCTTTTGGGCGCAAGGGCCATTGACCCATGTGTTGTCAGGCATGTCAAGCAGCGGATGCTCCCTTCAAACTAATGGAAGAATATGCAGATTCACTACAGCTACAGGATGCCATAGCATTGCATAGCATGGTATACCCTGCATGGCACCCTAAATCAAACACCCAAAAAACATCTTCGATGTCAATAGCTACCTCAGTTCAAGATCCTGCAGGTAAGATCCGTCAAGACACTGCATCGAACGTGATGCGACAGGTGGTTGGCTTGAACCACAGGAGGCTCAAACACAGAACCTTCACAAACGCCCGTGCTTGCGCTCCAGACTTCCTTTCGATGCCAAAAGGCCCCGGTCTTCAATTTTGTCAAGCAAGGTAAGGCAACACAATGCAACTTCTGCCGAGAGACCAAGACTTGCCAGGCCATGACAAGGCCGCCGCAAACCTCGAAGAAATGCTAGCGGCTAGCTTCTAGGAGCGGAGAGAAGTGAAGCCTCCGCAGATCTTAGTCACGCATTCTGAAACCTTTTGAAACGAGTTGCCATGAGCCGCTTGGCCGCCGCAGCGGCGCAGCACCCGGCCCTAGGCCTTGCCGTCATCTCATGCATCACACGGCTGCTTTCGGGAATTCAACTGACAGGAGAACCCGCCAAGCGACGTTGGAAGAGGTGGCAGCCGCTCCCAGTCGCCACTGACCTGCATGAGAAGGTCATACTATGCTTTGATGGACAAGTGCCTAGCGAAAGCTGGATGACGAGAGTTCCTGGCGTAGGAAGACCCGATAAGCACGTTTGTTTGTCCACCGCAATTCCTGAAATCCGCTGATTCAAGAGCCAAGGCCATCACGGGGTCGAAGCACTCGGCAGCCGCGAAAGCTGCACGTTGGTCCTCGGGAGTGGCGCAGCAGTACATTCTTGCTCGAGTGTCTGGTGCGAGTGTCTGGTGCGACTGCAAACCTGTCTACTTGCTTCTGATTGATGTGATGACGGCTCTTCTTGCTTGGACGTGGCCGTGCCATGGCACGACACTCTGCGAGTGCAAGCCCACCATATGTGCAAGTACAACCCTGGAGGCTGCACAGCTCAGCGATCGCAGACTGATTGGGCCAAATGGCTCTCTCGCCACCGAAGACGAAGAGTTTGCCGCCCAGGGCTGTCCGGATTCTTAGTTTAGTTTCTGGCCTGTGAACACACCCATCTGCGACTCGACTCTTTCTAGTCTCCCAGATCTGCTGCCAGCTAAGACGTGTTGCTTCTTTGGCCTGCGGCGCAGCAGAAGCTCCTCGCTGTGGGCATGGGCGGCAGGGATTCCCAGGTGCTGGAGTCCTGATATCTCAGCATGCATGCAACGAGGGGCGAAAACCGACCTACGCCGATGCGCTGATACTGATCCCCTGCCATCTTACCCCTCCTGCCCTCCATGATATCTCTTGCAACTCGCAGGAAGGACGAGTGTTTCGTGGTGACCAACACTGCCGGTCAATGCGGCCACGCCACCCAGTCGAAGCGCTCGACCGAGGCAAGAGTTTGACGGCTAGTTTGGCCACCGAAAACCTTGGGAGTTACTTTGCAGTCCGACTTCGTGTAAATTGCCGTGAATGCACCTTACAGCTCTCTGATCTGGGGGCCTCTAACAAATGGCACAGGAAGGAACAGGGCAGACTGCTAATGGCTTCCAAATCGAAGCCGACAAGTGACTAGTGGCCTTTGTCTAGCTATGTGTAGCTGAGAGCTCCAATCTTAAGGTACTCTTATGTCACGTTGTGACTTGCTTGCCCTTGTAAGATCACCATCCGCCTGCCCAATGCAAGCTCCTCGGCTACTGCATTCTCCAGACTCAGGCAAAACTTTTACAAGCCATCATCTATGCCTTTGCGGTACAGATGCAACTATGGCCCCTTCCCCTTCCCTTCCCTGTTCCACTGCATCGAGAAACGTAGAGCTCAGGCCGGGCATCCTCGGACTTCCGAAAATGGGAGCATTGAAGCGACTCAAACTCGGCACGTGCCACAAGTTCCTCTCCTGACGCAGCAGCGCGAGCGAGCTGCGCAAGTTGGCCCCGTGAAACCGCGATCTCGGAAGGACGAGAAAAGGCTGGGCCGGAGAAGAAGCCACCGCAAAAAAGGCTTCAAGACCTTAAGATGTTTGTTAGCCGGTTCTGGAGAAGCTTGTCCGGGGCGTGGTCAAACGTGGACATGTGCGGGAGAGTGGAAGATCATATTGGCACTATGTTGGCAGAGGCACAAGGCACAAAGCCGACTGGACATCTCGAGCCCGGCGAAGCGCCCAACTTCGTGAGCGACCTGCGCAGATTCTCTCTGCACCATAGAGCGATTTCAAGCAACAGGGTCTGGCCTGCTGCCGTCGCAACACCTGGTCGAGCAGCTCTGCACAGCCTCAGCTTGCTGGTCTGCCCTCCCAGGCTGATCGTCGGGATGTGAGAGTTGGCTGTTGTTAAATTTTGTCATTGTTGAGGCCGACGAGTGCCCACTAGCCTTTCGGTTTCAATGAATCCCGGTTTGCTCCGGCTTTTGCATGTTCGTGCGGCCTTGCAGCTGGACTCTGGACTCATGCCAAGCATATCGAGGAGTTTCGAAACGGCACCCAGACCTAAATTGGGACCCGAGTTTGTTTCGAGCTCAAAGCAATGGAGCCGAGTGTCGCTCACCACGCCGCCGCCTTTGGAGCTCTTCAGCTGCACGCTCCTCATCAGGATGCATCTTCGAACGGTGGTGCAACTGAGAAAAACGGCGAATTCATGCTCGTGAGGTTCCTGTGTTTGGCTCAAACAGAAAGCCATAATGTCTCTTGCCAGGCTGATCTCCATGGCAGCTTGCGCACATGAATCGCAACAGAGTTCTCAAGGGGTGGGCAACTGCGTTGTGTGTTGTCTATTATGTTGTCAGACGGATGAGTAGGCCAAAGGCGTGACGGTTTGTGAGAAGCAATAGCCAGCGAGTAAGCAACAACAGTCTGCGAGGGTCTTACATGGCAGAGAAGAGCTAACAGCCTCGGAGAGTATCGACTCACATGTTGCTCCACATGTCGTGCTATGTTGCTTCGAAGCAGGCAAATGGCTGAGGCATTTACAAGCCTGAAGCAGGTAAAGCGAGCGGCTTGGCAGGAGCTAGGAGCTGTGGCTTTACAGGTGCATTTACTCGAGCTTCCTGGCTTCGGATGTCACTTGTGTATATGTGACTCTGGCTGCTCCAGATCTTGTCTTGAACTTTGGGAAGGAGATCCGCCCTTCTTCAGAGTGCGCTTGAGACGAGAGTTGAAAGCCAACCTTCTGAGCCTGATGCAGTTATACCAGCAGATTCAACCAAGTCGCTCACACCATCCCTCACCTATTTAGCGACGTTGTGTCTGAACTGCGTTCTCCTTGGTGACTGAACCCTGGCTAGAGCCCCAACGACAAGTAGGTGTCGAGCAGCTGGATGCATTTCTGAGTAGCTGCACCCGGTGGTTGGGCGGATGTGGGCTGGCTACTAGGTCAGCTTCCTCGCAGGTTCACAGGCCTTGCAGTCGAAGCTTAAGAGGTTGACATCAAAGACGAGAGTGGCATTGGACGGAATCTTTGGCGGTAACTGGGCCAACGCACAGAACTTTTGATTGAAAATTGGGGATACCTCAACAGGTGGGGACGCTTTCCTCGGTGTCAAGGGCCTTTGTTTCCGACTAACAGGATTTGGAGCTGGGCAAGGAGTTGAACGTTTGCAGCTTCCGTGCCCTGGTTCCAGGATGTGCGAAACCGCACGCCGAGGTCTAAATTAGGCTTCTGACGTCACCTGCTTGACATTTTGTTGGACATCTCCTGTGTCGTTCGTAGGTCTTGTGCTTCCTAACTATTGGGATGGGAGATGCGATGACGAAGCTCAACCAAAAAGTCTCTCAGCATTACGTAGACGACCGACATTATCATGATCCTGCTTTCGACTTGTCGTTTATGGGGTAGGGTTCAGCAGTGCTACTGATGTTTTGACTCTTCAATTCCTCAATGATTGACTCTTAAGCCTCACAATCCCAACGTCACGAACAATGCTTGGCATCATGGTCATCGCGATCGCCACCATCAATGTCACCGCCGTGCCCATCACCGCGGCTGTTCGGATCGGGAATTCTGTCACAGGAAGACGAACGATATGAAGAACGTGAAAAGTGAGACCAACATGATGCCAATAGGGTTGCCATTAAGCTGCTGAGTATCCCACGCACAACGCATGGTGCTCCCTGTAAGCCTGACTGAGATAGACACGGTTCGATCACCAGCAGCACTATAAGCTACGAAGCGCTGAGGTCAACCAACCAACTAGTCTGTGTGTTTGTGTGTTGGCTCAAAGAGAACGCAGATCTTGCCCATAGTACGTTCTCTTGCTGTTGAGATGGCCAAACATACCAACTTCTGTCTTTGAAGTGCTGTGTTCTCCGGGCATTCAAGGGTAACGGACAAACGAGAAGGAAAGGGAGAAGCACAGGACAACTGGACTGTGGCACGAGAGGAAAGGTCGTATGGAGAGTTCCATGAGCCCAGGAGTTAAGCCGTCAACGAACTCTGATCCCTCTGAAAGCTTGTCCGTTTGCTCTGATTTGATTATCACTCCAAAGGCTCCGGCACCCTCAACGCCGTACGCCAACTCGGGGGCGATGGTGAGGCGAGCTTCCTGACATATCTAGCCACGACGGGATAATCCCGAGCATCTCGGGTACCTTCTAGATTCTAGACATGTGGGGCCGAGTCTCATGGACAGGCGTGCGGAAAATAGGAGACAACTGAGGGTGCACACCCGTTTCGTTCTTTATATTTCCCTACCTTACTACTACTACTACTACT